ATATATATATATACAATGAAAACTTCTACCATGAAAATATATTATAGCGGTAACATCATGTTTGTTATACACATATTTATTGATACCATTTTACATACATTTACTCATTGTATTTGAACTAGAAAAAGCGAAAGAACGTTTGTTGTTTTAAACTACTATTGATCTTCATTTGTCACGGTAACGCATCGAAACATTCATCAATTACAAACATATTCTATGATATAGTCATTCAACTCATTTGTTCCGTTCAATGGAACCGTATAAATGCAAATGATATTGTACAGATACTCAATAACAACATCAATAATAACAAGAAGAAGAAGAAGAAAAAAACGAAGTATCGATATTATACCTAGTTCTTGTCTAATTAATTCGATCTTATAATGTAAATGTATATGTAAGATGGTTGATCGACATTGAATTGAATGACTTCTTTCTACCTTTTTCTAAAGTAATCTAACCTTACTGTATTCTCTTGACACCTAGCTGTCCATTATAGAACAGACAAGAATAGTATAATGAATTGTGTCATCGAACTTTGTTTCAACAGCAGCAGCAGCTGTGATATCTCAGAATATAAAGGAAACAAAAAAGAACGAATGTTAAATCCTTGACATTACGTCTCGAATAGTTTCTCCCTGGACGTAAACTTTTGTCATACTCAAGGGTATACGTATTAGTTTAACATAATACAACAAAAAAAGAAATCTGGATTAAATCTCAATTTGTCGTTGTACTAATTGTTTGTTAAATCAAACAAAAAAAAGAAGTGAGATTATTAGTATACTTACAACGACCGAGGCCAAGTGAACGTAATCGAAATGATGGGATTAGTTTCATTATTATTTAATTGTATAAATTATATGATTAATGAGGAAAACTATTGTAATGTTTTCCTCAACAATAATAAACACGAAGACGCAAGTCTTCAGATTGCTATGATAATAATAATAATGATGTTGAGAAAAAAGAATATTGAAATCCTTTTTTTTTTTTGTTTCAATATAAATATATTTTGCCGTAGACAAATAAAGAGAACCACAACTGTTATTAACGCATTGTGCCAAGGCTTTTCACCATGATATTATAGCACAAAATCGAATAGACAAGGATTTGTCCGGAGGCGACAGGTGTTTCACGATTAATATTCAAATCACAATTGATGTGCAAATATATTTTCTTTTGTTTCATCTTTCGTTCTTTTTATATATAAACTATGCCCAAAGAAATTGTATCCAAACAACTTACTTAAGTCATAACTATATATAGAATTATTAAGATTACCGTCTACACAATGCAGTTCGCTCTTGTTTTGAACGTATGTGTGTGTGTTTTGCACCGCAATGTCTTAAGAAGTCATATTAAGACGGAAATTACTTGACAGGTGAATGCCGTCGGAGTCACTATTGCTTAGTATAATCAATAATGCAACTATTCATTTTTGATCAGGCTATTCGTACTTCTTTTTTTTCCATCTTATCAACATGCACATAATAGACAAATAATGAGTAAAATTTGTTATTCGATGTTGAATGATTGATTATTATCAATTAAATAGAATTTCATTATAATAATAATGACTTGGGAATATAGACAATGAGAGAAAAAATTGATTAGGTACAGATGATTAGTTCTTTTTTGTTTAAGATGAATATTTAATATATATATCGAGTTTGAATCCAATAAATCTGCTTTTGATAGTGGAGAAAAAATGTGCTTATCTATGTTTATAAGAGAGAGAAAAAAACGATAGATAATATGTAATATACAATGAGACAAGCTATTTATAGAATTCTTTGTTATTTGAAAAGATTGATAGGTTAAAATTTTGATGTGATGAAAAGTGTAATTATTTTTCTTTCATATTGATAAAAACAAATTTTTTCCAGAAATACAAATAAAGTATGATTGATGATCAGTATATAAAATTTAACTAGTTGGTATACTGTTATTTGTTCAAGATTTAATTATGATGAAAGAAAAAAAGAAAGTTTAATAACTACAGATAGGAGAAAACATTCATACATTAAAGACAAAACGACAAAAATCCATCACCGGACAAGAGTATATGTATGTAAATATTTAAAAGACAGTACATTTTGTTTGTGGATTCATTTTTGCATTTGAGTTACATTGAAATGCTCGACTAAAATGATAACTTGAATGTAATGAACCAATCATTCTAAAAGAAAATATTCGTTGTTTTCTTTTAAAATAAGAATAATTTTCATACCTGTATCGAAACGGTGTATGAATCATGTCGCGTATATCTTTTCGTAAACGTTCATTCAAATAATTTCCACACCAGATCTATAAAATTTATATTATAAAACAAAAAAAAAAGAAGTTCTTCAAAATATTTTATACTTGACTAAAAGCTATAAAAAACATTTGTTCATGTGTATATTTATCAAGTAATGGTAATCGATGTTCAGTACCATGAACTTTTAACCATTGTTTATAAGCAAGAAATGCTAATTCCGTTCCTGCAATATCAGCTATATTTTCTGAACGTGTTGTATTACCATTTAAAGTCATATTAACTTGTTCATATGTATAATTTGAATATTGTTCAACAATGCAACGTTCTGTTTCTCGATATGTTGCATCAGTTTCGTTATTCCACCATTGAAATAAATTTCCATGTTCATCAAAATAACGTCCATTGGTATCAAAACCATGTATAATTTCATGTGCTATTACCATTCCAATACGACCATAGATAACAAAGCTATAAAAACAAAAAAATCAATCATAGGGAAGGCAATGTTTTTAGTTACTGTGGAAATTTTGAACTATAAAGAAATGGTCGTGTCATACCAACAGGTATAATAATAGCATTACGATTACTATCATATAATGCATTGACTTGAGCTGAACTAGTCATCCATCTAATATGAAAAGAAAGGATATATAGATATAAAAATCTAGATTTATCTACTGTTTCTTATCGACTGGTTTTCGAAAGAGTGCTATATTTTTTCGTACTTCATTTCCCAATAAATTGATAACATTATTTAAATGATTATCAAATGAAATATTTAACTAAAAAGAAAATCAAACTATATCTTTTCCATTAAATAGAAAAATACTTACATGGGCATGACTTAAATTTAAATAAGTTTCATTGAGTGCTTCTAATGGATAAGCAATAAATTCACTCATTAATTGTGCCTAAAAAAGATATATATATAACATATCATTTGAGAATTAATTAATATATTTACTTTAGCAAGTGCTACTTTTTTTGTGTCATTTGTCATCCAAGTATTACGTTTGATTGTTTCATAGAATGTACTTCGAATATTGAGAATAACTTCTTGTAACTAATAAACAAAAAGAATAATTATCAAAACAAAAGAAAATAGTTTTTATACTTCTTCACGAATATTATCATCCGTTTGAGATTTTAAATAGAGATATGTCATTGCTTGGGCAAATGTTTCATCAGCACGATTTAATAGACAATGTGAACCGATACCATTTAAGGCAGCACCCTATGTCATATATATTCTAGTTACAAAAATCTATTGTTTGAAAATTTTACCTGAGTAAGACGTGCAAGTTCATAATGTGCTTCACGAAAAGTCTTACTTAAATCAGGTACAAGACTAGCAATAAAACGCCATAGACAATAACTTGTCATAGTACTAATCATTAAACAAAAAATAAATATTCATTTAAAAATAATTCTTCTTTTATTACCGTGTATCAAAACGACGAATAAGTCGTTCAAGATCTTCCATATATTGACTAGCATAAAGTACAACAACTGGTTCATCAAGTGGTATAAATTCTTTAAAAACAATATTAAAATATACTGTCCAATTGATAGATGATACCATATTTTGTAATTCACCAACACTTATTTTCTTATAAAAATCCATGACAGTATTCGATGGTTGATCAGCACGAATCTATAATTAGAAATAAATTGAGAAAGTTTTCAATAACTCAACGTTGAACTACAAAATCATAAAGCGATTCTATCTAGTAAGTGAGTAATAAATAAATTTCTGTTTTAGATTACGGAAACGATGAATAGAAAAAAACTCTCACCTACGTTGGCGAGTGCTTTTTCAAATTGAAGTATTCGTTCCATTTCATTGCGTGCTTGTGTGCGTTCAACACCCAAACTAGTTGCCACACTAACCATAAAATGCATATAAGCATCAATTTCTTCTTCTGATTCATATGCTGCTGATGCTTGTAAAAATAAGGATGGATGATTGATCTACGAAAAAAAGGGACAACATATGTTTTTTTCATTTATTCAAAATAATTACAAGAATAATATGCTGAGAATTATTCATATCATCAGCAGCTATTTTCAATTCATATAAAGGTTCAATATTAAATTCTAGATGAAGTGTTGCAAGTAATCGTTCAAGAGGTAATTTTGATTGCCATCGTTCACCATATAAAGGAGGAAATCCACCAAAACGTTCCAAATGTTGCATAAGTAAATGATAGGTTGCATTTTCAACTGTTGGTGAATCTCGATCTGTAAAAATAATTAGAAACAAAAGAAAAAAAAGTATTTTCTTTCTTTACCTAAACTAATACATGTTTGATAAAACATTTTAAGTTTTCGTACAGCATCAGGTTCGATATCAAGAACAGGCTTACGTAGTAGTTCTATAGGGGAAAAAAACATAGATTATAATTAAACTAATGGCGTAAATAATAATAAGTACCTCGATAAAAGTCTACAACATCATTGACAAATGATTCGAATGAGGAACGAGTACCACGACCTTCAGGTATTGGATGACTTTTATCCCAATTACCACAAGCAAATTGATAAAAATCTTCGCATGGGTCGACTGTAGTATCCATTGCATTATATGTATCAGCAGCTAATGTAATACATTCAGGTGTAAGACATAATGCTCCTTCAAAAAACAAAAGAAAAGACAAATTAATTAATTATTTAAATTTTTGTCTTACGTTCTTGTCGTATTCGTGTATGTAAAATATATAAAAAAAGTAAAGAAATAACAATGGCAATAGCGAGTAAAAGTGAAAGACACAATCCTAATGTTAATTTATTTTGACAAAGATGTGCTTTAAGCAAAGATGCTGGATGTTTATGTTTTTTTACTGTTGTTGTTGTTGTTGTTGTTGCAGGTGTTCGGATTTGTACTTCCGTCATAAGACAATCCTGTTCACTCGATGATAATGGTGGTGATGAAACACTATTCATTATTCCGTTATTCATGTGTATAGCTTTGCGTGTATTTGTACTAAAATCTGTTGTACGTGAATATTTGGTTGTTTGCGCTGTATTTATTAAATAGCTTGTCGTGTCAATTATCTATGATGTTTGTAACGTGTCATGTTTACAAGTCAGATCACAGCTTGACTTTTTGATCTGATGGAATAAGAGTAAATTAATAACAAGTAAATGAGAAAAAAAAGGAGAACGAAAAGAAAAAAAATTGACGTCTGTTTGTCATCACTTACGTTAGACACATATAAACATCTTGATGTATTAAATTCTATCTATCGACTTATGTTTGTATATGTTGTCTATATATATCTATCTCTCTCTCTCTCTCTCGTTCTCTGTCGATCGCTCTTCCGGGTTGATGCTCTTAGCTTGAGTTGCAAACATCGTCATTCTAAGGTATATAATTAATCGATACTCGTCTTTTCTCCGAGGAATATATGCTCGACGAACTAAATCCCGCCGGAAAAGACAAGAACCGCATAAAAATATGAATAGATTGTGTCATGCGGAAGTTATCATCAGCGTCATTTTGATCGCTCATTTTGTCGATGCCCTATTGTAGCATGTTTTAGTTCGTACAATGTCAACAAAAAAAAATGACAAAATATATTACTAAATAACAACATTTTCATAAGAAAAATATCAACAAACTGTAAATACAAAAATATTGATATTAATAATATCCATTTGTACATGATATGATAATATTGACCTTTACCATCTGTTAATTAATGCATGTATCATAATAAATTCGTACTATCTCATAATATTTATCATATGCCTTATCTCCACTAGTATTAGTATATATATATATTCGATATTTTAATATAGAAATTAATCGTTTCTCATTAGCTAAGGGCAAATAAAATCTACTTACTATTATTAATATATGATATATTAAATTAGAAATATAGGAGATATTTTAAGTGCTCTTGTATCAGATTAAGCACATTTATTTCAATAACAATCTATTTTCGATAGACCTTGAATGTTTATGTGATAATATAATGTTGAAAAGAAAAACTTCAGAAGCTTTTATAGATAGTAATTATCATCGCGTGTCGTAAGAAAAATATATTCCTTAATATTTTGATGATAATTTTGTTAATATTCAACAGTCTTCTACTATTGATTTGGATAAGCTATTCTAATTGATTTATGAGAAAAAATTACTAATGGGAGAATAAATATAACAACTGAACCAGACCAAATTCAATCGTAAATGTCTTCTTAATTGCTAAACTTTACTTGAATTTAATCTGTTAGTTAAAAGAACAACATTAATTGAAACTATCATTGATTTTTATTTATTAGAAAAAGCTCTGAGATATTTATTTTTAGAAATCCAATAATATAACATGAAACCAGTTGATGTTGGCTAATGACTGTGATTTTTCTGAGCTTTTTGATCCTTTCCGAACGACATAATTATCATCCTGGATAATTCAATGAATAGAGACTAAAAAGGAAAGTTTCCAGGGATTTCAATGAAGATGATATGGGATTATTAAGTCACGTATATCTATTTCAGGTTTGAAACAATTAGATGCTCTTATTACATTAGTAAAAATTTTATAGGTGGAACATCTTCCAAAAATAAAATACATCGAGGGTATGGGCGTGTATTTAGATGCGAAAATAGATGAATGCCCACACCCTCAAATTATCACGTGGAGAAACAGATCAACAAGTTTGGTTTTTACTTCTCTAAAACTTGTGAGTTGCTGTTTTTTCTACATAATGGAGTAGAAGAAACAAAAAAAGATGGATAGATTGATCGAGTTTATTTATGTTCAAATATTCAAAAAAATTTAAAAAAATCTGTGCATCAAGAAAACAATTAAAACCTGAGGAAGAAGAATTTTATCAATTTCATCATATAACTATTCAATGTCCATCAAAAGCTTTTGATCAATGCACTCAAATTATTGATTTATCACAAAATTTATCTTCAAATTTATTATCTGAACATAGTTTAAATAATAAATTAGATTCTTTATCAAATATTCGAATAACTTTTGAATTTATTTTAAATTGTTCAAATGATAATAAAGATAATAGTGCTTGCAAATAGGACAATTATTTCGTCAATCAACTGAATAAGTATTAAATGATGATCAACCACATGATCTGCTTGCAGGTATGGGTGCCGGTGTGAACTTTAGCGGATGACCACTCTCACACCTACACCACACACACCCGCACCAACACTTCCAAGACTTCAAAAATATTTAGCTGTTTTTATACAAATGAGTTCTTACTATATACACCCAGTAAACCGACGGTTTTTTGGTGGTATATCTCACAGTTCTACGAGCGGTCTACCGCTGGTTAACCGGCTGTTTTTATTCGGTTTATAGCACATGGGCTTTAGCTTATATGATTTGCTTCCATGCAGTATTTGAATTTTGGGTCACTCAGTGCACGATATCATGACTATGGGTGTAGGCGAAGAAGACACATTCTCATCCTCTTTCACCCGTATGTAAAATTTTGGCTTCATACTTCAAAGGAATTTCTCAACAAATATTCTATATCATCAATTTCAATTTTCTGAAGTGGCTTCCATCAATAAATTAAAAAGTAACAATGAGATAATTACTGACCATAAAGAAACACTATATGGACATTATCTTATTGTTGATTCTCTTTCGTTAAAATATATACCACCGTAAAAATAAGGGAAGTTGGATGCTAGTATTTTGCTTAACTCATCAATATTCATATCCTCATTCTCATTGCGTTGTATATCTGATATGATTATAGATTATCCCTTAGATTATCTGTTGCTGTTATTTACAGATATATTCATCTTTGTCGTTCATGAACTCACTTCAAAGTTTTTTCTAAATGAAATATTTCAATGATGATTTCTGCTAAATCCGATGAATACTATCTAAACAATTAAATCTTGAGAGTAACTACACAACAAAATGAAGAGAGCATATCGAAGGATAATTAAAATTATCGTATAATTGTAACTTTTGTTCATCATAATAAACTAATATATGAGGATAGAAAAACAAGAATATTTATTTTTATTTGGGATCGAATACTAAAGTAAATCATAATTCAGAAAAGGTATCGAAGAAAACAATTCGTGGACATCATAGGAGGACAATTGTTCTAACTAAAGTATTTTTGCAATGTGAAATACTTGCAAGAAAAAGAACAAGATAAGTGAAAGTGAATTTGTTTGAGATAATTAATATAATTCGGCACTATTTAAATAATCACTATGATCAAATCCACCAGTAACCAATACTTGTCCATTTAATAACACAGATGCCGTGTGAAAAGCACGTTCTTTATTCATGTTACTAATAGTTGTCCAAGTACCTGTTGATGGATCATACAACTCAGCACTATTTAAAACACTACTATT